CGGCTCAGCGTGCCCAGGCATGGGCTGGAGAAAGGTTTTCCTGGGATGGCAGGGACAGTCTGGTGCCGGAATTCAGACAGCCTGCCCTCCCTGTCAGCAGAGGGACAAGGGGGATGTTTTTCCCTGTGCTGAGCGAGCCCAACCACGGTCCTCTGCTGCGTCTGCCCTCACTCCGGAGCTGCCTCAGTCCACAAGAGCGCGTGTCCAGCCTATTGTGCATCTTCAGTCCCAAAGCCGGGCTCTGGCCCTCAGCACACTGGCTGGTGTCAGAGATGGCAGAGTAGCTGTGAGCATTTGCTGCTACCTCCCACAGCGTCTTCTCCTTCTGGCCTCTACCGCTGCTGCAAACATGCCCAAATCAGGGATGTGGCTCCTGCCAAGTCTTGGGGGCTGCGGGCTCTCGGAGCTGCTTGTTCCCTTAGTCTCCCCTAGTGCCCAGCCCTCCCCCAAAGCTGTGTGATGGGTGCTCGATGGGAAGGTGGTGGTCAGCCAGGCCGTGGCTGAAAAGCTACTGCGAGTAGCATTTCAGATGATCTGTCTGGAGAGAGAGGACAAATATTCGTGTGTGCGTGTGGCCAGCATGTGCCAGGATGCTCTAGAAACTGTAAATGACTGAGTAGAGGTGCTGGAGCACTTATGTAAAATATCTAAATAAATCTTTAATATTTCTAATTGCAAATGTACATAAATTGCACGGCCACATCATTTCTTTGAACACCAACAACTTTCTCTGTACATTATTACATAGTTTAAAAGGAGCTGAAGGAGATTCAGCGAACACTTCCACTTTGCTTTGTTTTTAAACATACTTACAAAAAAAGATTTTTCTTTATAAGAGGATATAAAACATAGCGACTGCTTATCAGGAACAAGTATCAGCCTAAGCAGATATACAGAGAGAGGTATATCTTAAGACACAGTGATGTATGATAAAGGAGTATGTGAACATGGAGACTACACTCTGGGGTACTGGTAGCTGATGCAGAACCACATGGCATTTACAGCAATGTCACAGCTCAGGTGATCTGTGAAAGTCAATGCTTGAACGTGACACCCTTTTTCAAAGCATGGTTGTTTCTGAATGTCGTGCAACGCCCTCAAGATTGGATTTGGTTTGTAAAGCCCATGAGCTGCATGTTAGCATGCTGCTGTCGTCCTCCCTCTCACCCCATATGTAATTTCCCCCAAGGGAAAAGAAAAAGGCAACAGTTTTATCTGTGCAGGGTTAGAGCGGGGCTTGGCAGTTCTCGGAGCAGGGCAGGTGCCACACGTCCAAGCCTTGTGGCTAAGCAGTCTCCTCTGAAGTTGCCCTGAAGAGTCAGAGACCTACTTGGAGATGGGCAGTGCCCCTTCCTGGGGCCAGTTAAGGGCTCTCCTGGTGGCCTGGATTGCTCTGAACGCAAACCTTTGGGGAAGAGGTTGACCCCCAACAGCCATTGCGGGCGGGAAGGACGGAGTGCTGCACAGGAGCCCTCCCGCCTACCCCAGGGACAGTGTCGCAGTTGTTCCCTTTGGATTTTTCTGCTTCACGCTCTCCAGGCAAAGCTACATGTTACGGACAGGGCAGCGACCTTGGTGGAGCTGCTGGACACCGCTGGTCATAGGTGCTGCTGTCAGAAAGGTGTCTCCCAGGGGCTGCTACCCCTGCCCTGGGATCGCTGGGGGAAATGAGCCCCTTGCAGATCAAATCTATGAGCCACACCTTGTGGCTGTCCTGGCCAAATGCATCAGTGCATTTTCCATCTCCTGTGACTAAAGATCCTCTCCTCGTTCATCACAGAACAGACTTCAGTATGTTTTCTGTTGCATCTGGGTATGGACACTAGTAACAGGGAAAAGCCTATGAGCGCTCTATACTTTGGAAATAATTGATTACTTGCTGATTGCTTTCCTAGGAGAGCCTGTGATGCCTCTCTCAGGTCCACCAAGTCCCTTCTCCCTTTAGGAATATTCGTAGTAGCAGAACCTGTGTCCTGCACCCTGCAGCAACCTACGGGGCTAGCTGCCAGCCAGAGGATTCAGCGTGTTCTCACAGTGCAATCAGTGCTTTACAACTGCAAAAGCAGAAAACAAAACCAACCAGACTCAAATGACAATGCAGAGTGACACAGGACTCTTTGGATGGCAGCAGGATTTGCTTAAACTGGTGCAAAAGGGGCTACTACTACACTGTAGTATTAGTTGGCATGGCAAAGGACTCTGGTCCCTCCAAACTTTTGGCACTGAAGCCATAATCCCTGTCCAAAACAATGATACTTACAGTCCGCAGAGACCTTGGGATACTGTTCAGTCCATTTCATTCCCCTTTACACAAAACTTTGCTCATTTTTTCAGAAGTGTTCACTACAGTTTAACAAAACCCCAAATCAAAACTCTTAAAACAGAATCCTCGAGGTGGACCAATCCCAAATCTGGATCCCTGGCTTCTCTCCCTTCCCCTTCCCTCAGATCTCCAAAGGGAGGAGGCTGAAATCATAACCTGTGTCTGGATCCAGATTTGCTAGTTTGAGTCCACCTCTCCAAAACAGCAGTGAGAGACAGCCAAATCCTGACCGAATAAGCAGCACCAGAAGTAAGTTACTATATACAACTGTTAGTGAGATAGATACGTTACAGTAAACACTGAAAACATTTACAAAAAAATATTAAGACTTGTATTAAGATAAAAATCTGAGTGTGTTTTTGTGTTTTGTTTACACTTTGACGAGTTTGCACTAGAACAGCCTCTTGCTGTGGAAAGAGCAAGAACGAAACAGAAAATGGAGCAGATCACAAAACATTACGGATAGTGGTTGCTTTGCTCTGGTGCTGCAAGCACCTCTTGGGATTGCCTCTGGTATTGCTACGCCAGATACCAGGTCCGAGGCCACATCGGGTAACCTGGCCACGCGGGGCTGGCGCGCGCTCGCACGCGCTCGCTGGCTCCCTCGCGCTCGCTCACGCAGGCATGCACACACACGTGCACACACGCGCGTACACACATATAAATGTACAGTTTATAAATAACAGAAACACAAACTGAAGTAACAGAACTGAACTGAGCCTGGATCTTAAAACCTACCCCCAAACCTTTGTAGGGGAAGGTCACATTTAGGTCCAGTTGTTGACAGTTGCAGGGGAAGGAGACAGGGAAGAAGAGGAAGGGGAATCTCTGCTGTAACGAGACTTTGTCCTGATTTGAATTTCTTTTCATACTAGCTCAGGAAACTAAGCAACAACTCCAGAAAGTGTTGGCACTGGAACTTTTAAGATTTTAATAACTCGCTGTGAAAGGATTTAAGCGTTCCTGCTATTTCAGCAGAACAATGTGTGTTCAGTAATTTGCAAGTTTGCGGTGAACCAGGAGTTTGATAGATCGGGGCGGGGGGGGGGAGCAGTGCCTTGGCTTGTGGTTGAGGAGAAGATTAAGATGTACTGTGCTTAGCTTCAGCACTAAACAATTGTTTTGTGGGCGTTTCTTTTTTCCAGCTCTTACGGAGAGCACTGACTGCATCCCCAAATTACTTCTGTGTATGAATGGAAACATGCTGCCGGTGAGGCGCCCGCCCCCATGCCCTGTTAGGGTTTCCATTCCTCTATGTTACTTTTCTCTTGAAAAACTTCCGTCTCTCGCAACACAAATATTTTGGAACTCAAAAACAATCAGCTTTAAACATACATCTCAGGGCAACAGCAGTTTAAAATAGTCTTTTTTGCAGGGTTCTTATAATGTGTTTGACTCTGAGACAATGGCAGATGTTAAGTGTACGTACCCAACGGTTCACAGTACCCTGTATATTCCTAACCTGTCTGGGTCTTTCTCCAGTTGTAACCTTGTCAGTTTTGTGAGGTTCTTCAAAGCCATCTGTGCTAGTCTCCAAAATTCAAAGGTGACTGTATTTGTCATAAATACTTAGTTATTACTTTTCTCTGAGGAGCTCCGTTTGGGGTCTGCTGTGTGATTGCACCACTCTGCAGGCGTTGGCGGGGTGTGGAGACCTCAGCGCAACACGTTCGCTCCTCCAAGGACCAAGCCGCACCGGGCTTGGCCCAGGGCTTCCAGGGAACAGAAAAACGTTTAGGAAAAAAAGCATCTTTAATTTTGAAAACAATTGCATGTGGAAGAATGCTGTTAATGAGCCTTATGGCTGTGGGGCAGCATGGCAATGCAGAGCTTACTGGCAAACAGTGTCCTGCTCAGGCAGCCTAGGTAGTGTGAGGCTGGAGGCGGTACCTAAGCTGTGCAGAGCTCAGTGAACATCCTAGTCCCTTTGACTGTACATTTACACATGGCAGGAGGAGCTAGGACAGGCGTTGACCAGTGTATTAAACTTTAGTGGGAAGAATAGGCAGATGTCCTGTACACTGTACACTGTCATCCGTATCTCAGAGAAATCTCTCTGGCTCTTGGTACGAGTAACCTGCTCTGAAAGTGGGAGTCGTGAAGTACTAACTTAAAAAAAACACAAACCAACAAACACACCGTGGCGGCAGGTCAGCGGCACAATCCCCCGTTAAGGAGGTGACCCCTCCGCTGAGCACAACGTGTCTGAATGTGCCGAATCTGCGTGTTTCAGCAGTTAGGAAAGTCTAATCCTGGCTTATGCCTGCACAGTGCTCCTGACAAGGGGGCTTTCGGTGGTGGCTGCTGTTCTTGTTGGTTACTCCCTTATGACCATGTTTTACATTCTTCGAGCCGGTTAATTTCCATGCAGTGCTCATTCCCAATTTAAAGAGGACAGTATTCCAGAAAATGGGATCTTTTTTTTTCTAATGCATACTGTGAAAGAAAAGAAATACAATTACCGATCTTCATGGTTCTTCAGGGCTTTTTCTTGTTTCTTTGTCTGTTTTTCTCCCCAGAAATAGTAAAAATCTCTGCACAGAGCATTACATCCCCATAACGAACCCTTTGTCAAGCAAGAAGCTGGCCATTTCATGTAGCCCCTCACTCCCCCTCTACCACAATGGGCAGCAGAAAATCCAGCCCCTGCACCTCATTCACAGCTCAGGGACCAAGCTCAGGCAACATTTACTTTATTCTGTGGCTAGAAGTGTGGGGGGGACGACACAGTGCCCTGGGGCTATTGCTTACAAAGACTTTTCCCCATTATTTGAGAGAGCAGAAGCTGTAGAGAGGAAACAAGGCGCCATTCACCAGGTGCCAGGTCCTCCCTCCACTCGCGTGCCAGAGCCTTGGGCTTGCTCTGCTCTGGTCCCCAGGGACCCCCAGGAGCCCCAGCAGTACCAGTCATGCCCTTCTCTACTGCCCTGCCACCGTGGTTCCCCACGCAGCACCCCTTTGGCTACCGCATCGCGCAGAGTGCACCCTGACCCTTCATCTGGGCTGTGCTCCCTATATGGGCGGAGTTAATTAAACACTAATTAGCTGCATAAATGCCCTGTGGACAGTCACCCGCTGTAAAAATCAGTGGCCTCACAAAAGCCACATAAGGAAAGATGGCTGGGCTCGGCTCGGGGTTTGCTTTGGGAGAGGGCTGTGCTCCAGGGGGAGTCACAGGCGGAGCGGGCCAAGCTTTGCTGCCATCCCTCGCACGGCTACATGCAGCAGCACACTTTAACTGGACTTACTGGGCCGCTGCCTGCTGCAGGCTCTGCCCAGCTCCCTTTATTTCGCTTACTGCAATGACAAGGATGTTATTCCTTGCTGGGAGGGGTGAGGCATATCCTTTGGGCAGTTTAGAAGGAAAAGGTTACTTTTGTTTAAACATTAAACACTGATTTAAATCCAACAGTGACAGCGATTCTCAAATATATGTTATTTCCTTATGCCACTCATCTCACACTCGATCTTTCCGTCCCCTCAATGTGCTGGCATTAGCATCTCCCACAAAGGCTCAGTCAAGCGCGCCGTCCGCAGTAAGGAGCTGGTTTCTCTGGGGGGAGAGAGCAGCCGTTCTTTGAAGCCGCGGCTCACACCTGCTGCTGCACGGTCTCTCTGGCCAGGCCTCCTCTCCTGCGGCAGCGCCCTCCACGGGTTAACAATTACTGCTGTTTCTGAATTCTCCATTCTCTGTAATCTGCAATTTAGTTGGGTTTGTGGGGGAGATCCCATTACGTGTCTGCATGCTGTACCTCTCTTTCAGCTGAGTAAGGGCACTCATTAACCGTGCGTTGGCAGCATCCAATGAAGCAATGCGTTTCTCCTGCAAACAAACGGGCAGAGGGGAAGAGTCAGTGGAAACGCATGGAGACCTGTCCCTCTGCGATGCCAAGGCTTGTCCTGAGACAGCGACCCAGAGGCCTCATGGACCAGGACCTTTCTCTTTGGCATTCTTAGGTGTGGGTTTTTTAAGCGCCACGCAGCATTTTTTTAAATCCACTGCTATTAGCAGGGCCACAAATGTACTTTGCCTGTGGAATGTGAGCTAAATTCATTTTAGCATCCTGAACAAAATGGAGATAATATAGTTTCTCTAATTCTTCAGTTATACAGAAATTCACTGTACTGTTTGCTCTAACTGCAGCTGTTACAAAGACAGTAAGATTCCTCTTCTAAAACCTAGTGCTCTCCCAAGATAGTTATTCCTGTCAGTGTTTAATTGATTTTGTTAGTGTAAATTAATAGTTTAAATGACTTGTGGCCTCCCAGGATGGCGTTGATGGCAATTCTCACTGATTACAGTATCGTAAGGACGGGAGCAAGAGCTTCCATGTTGCAGCCTGCTTCTGCCACTCCTGCTCTTTGCAACACTGAACAAGTCATCCTCCTCCTCTGTCTGCCATTAGCGGGAGGGAACAGAACCAACTCAGAGGCGCACAGTAGTTTGCCTGTGTGTAACTTTGAAGGTCCATGGGCGAACGTGTCCAACACTATTGTACAGCCTGAGATGACAAAAAGAGAACAGCGTGGACTGGCTCATGGTAGAAGCCTCACATGTAACACACAAGATGGCAGGAGACAGGACAGCCTGTTGAGAGCTGCTGGCAGGCTGCAGGCTGCACCGCTCACACCTTACAGACGCCCCTGTTATCTCCTAGGCTTTGCTGGAGTGCAGAAGGGAACGTGATGATTTACTAGCTTTGAACAAATTGCTCTACAGAAAAACAGTGATTCCTTTTACAAAGTTACTACTGCCTCATCTCCTTTTTAATTAGCTATACAGTAAATTAGTCATGAGTAGTGACTTACAAGCGATTAATAGGATTGTTAAGAGTAAGCCTAGAATATACTATCACCTAGCCACAACCTGTAGGACGTCCTAGCTGCTGAGATGCTGATCTCTGCCTAGACAAATTAAAAGATTACGGACCATATTTTCAGATTCTCTTTTCCAAGCACAGTGTTTTGCACCCATCACCTGATGCTCCTCTGCCATTGTAATCTATAGCAATAACTGAGCTTCCCAATCCTGCAAGCCACACCCCAAAGGCTGAAAAAACATGTTGGCTTTGCTCTGGCCAGGCTTTGTGTTCCTTGTATTCAGGTCCTGCAAGTATTACTGGAACATGAAGCACCAAGCAAAGCTCCGGGGACCTCAGACTGAACCAATGAAGATATGATCCTTCCACAAACTGACTGAATTGTGGGCATGATCCTTCCACAGACTGCCACCCCCCACATCCTCTGTGTCGCCTGCCAAGCTCCAAGGCTGGAAACAGCTGTATGAATGCGAATGCTGTGACAATAAATTGCATCCTGCTGAAGTCTGACCGGCTCTGTCACTGACTGCAGCTTGGTGCTGACTCACCCACGCACACGGTCTCGCCGTGCTTGAGCTGGCACTGCTGCATGGCAGGGAGGCTGCATACTGGCAGACTCACCCTGGAAAGTGCTGCAGCCCTTGGTATCGGGCACTCACCTGTGCATCGATAATCTTCTGCTTGGAATCCACAGCAGCCTGCATTTCTGCATGGTCCTTCTTTAATTCCTCCTCAACTGACATCAGTCTGGCAGCCGAACAGACAAGGAAAAAATTACGTTTGTTGGGCTCTGCTAAGCCCAGATGTTAGTCTCATACACGTCTAAATCAGCCACCCAGAGTGAATGATACACATCATGTCTTCATTTAGTCCTTGACACCAAGGAAGCAAAGGGGTGATGTACATCTCTGAAGCACATATAGGAAGAGATGTGAAATACCAGAGAAGCTAGTCTACAGATGGAACTGGTCTCACATAGCAGCCCCCATCATCCGTACCAGGTCAAACCGTCTCATCTGAAAATGCAATGCTGAGGCACACACTGAGATGCTCCCAGGACCCGCAGTTGTGCATTCGAGCACAAAGGAAACACACAGTCATTGGCACTACCTCTTCTTACACACAAACCAATAGTTTAGAACCAGTCTTTTTTCTGGCTCTTACTCTTCTCTAGAGACCTCTACAGCAGGCTGTCCCAAAGCTTAAGTGATACAGAACAGTGAAGGCTGACCCATTTATGAGGGCTGATTAAAAGCACCAAGTTGGCTTGGCTCAGGTAAAGGTGAAGCTAGCTGCACTGGAACAGTCTACGCCCCGGACAAATGTAAACACCACATCTCACTGGGTGGGAGAAAGGGATTTATAGCTAAGACTAATGGGATGGCGATGAGATCTTTAGCTAAACATCAGGAAATGAACATTTTGATCGTTACATCTATTGCTCATATGAACAGAAGAGCAAGCCTGCCAGATCCTCTTGAAGTGTTGCCTTTGTCAAGCAGGAAAATGTTGGGGTTTTCCTTGTCCCAGCTAACACTGATGCGGGGACCCAAAGAGTCAGGGCTTGAAATCCCCCCCATGGGCTGTAACCCAGAAGGGCAGAAAGTGAATAAATGCTGGAAAACCCACATGGGAAACCTGCCTGCACCCCCAAAGAAAGCCGATTCTCCTGAGCAGGGGTCAGCTCTAACACCAACGAGGCTGCCTGCCTTACTGTCATCTCCAGCACTCCCACCTCCTCTGTACCTGCTGATGATGCCCTTCATCTGGATCTCCTTATCCTCCTGTTGTCTCCGGAGCCGCTCCTCGCTCTCCTCCAGCCTGGCCTGGTACTCCAACATCAGCTTCTGCGTTGTCTCCTCCTGGCACTTGAAGCGAGTCTCATACTCCTCCAGCTTCTTGTTGGAGATGCGAAGCTTGTCCTGCAGCACCACTAGGTCCTGCTGGTACTACAGCACGCAAGGACAGACACAGGAGGAGAAAACACATGTGGCATGTTACCTAGTAGGGCTTTGCCCTGGCTAGGGTTTCCCCACAACCCAATTATGCCCCTCTCCTTGCATTAGACTAGCTGCAAACCCGTATCAGATAACCCCGCTTGCCGACACCTCCTCTTCAGTCTTCTCCACACTGCGCTAGGAGCGATGCTGTGTTCCACTGGGCAGGCAGGTCACTGGCAGGTTCAGAGAATGGGTTGTTAGCAGAGTCTGGCATTTCACATGGGGAATGCAGGTTAGAGTGAGTGAATGGCAAACGCATCTGGCATCTTCCTCACACTAACAGCGCAGGGCTAAACACAGGCAGGAGAAGCTGCACTGGTGGGATTTTGGGTTTACACATGAGCTCTTCAGTCTACAACAATAAATGTGGGCGCTTTGGAGCTGCTGGACACCAAGCAGAAGCTGTTAGCGCTGCCTGCCTCCTGCCAGGCTGCAGGCTCTGCAGCAGTGACAGGCGTAGGCCACTGCCATCTTGGCACAAAGTGGTCACCCCTCATCAAGGCGAGGGCAACTCGCTGGCGTGAGCGTGGGCAGTGAGCACTACTGCCTTTTGGGGCCCAGCGTTTTAAACAACGCAATCAGATGTCAAGCCAGGGTTCAATCTGAGAAGAGCTGCTGCATGAAGCCAAGACCCCACAGCTGTACTGTTCATTCAGATGAAGCTAAAAATCAGCAGCAGAAGAATCACATAAAGCAATTAAAAAAATTAAGTGCTTTCTAACTCAGTAAAACTAGGTTCCGCTATTGCAGAAGCACAGCATTCAGTACAACTTGCTTTGCTAAAGGAAAATCCAGTGCATACCTGTACAAATAAAAAAAAGACTTTAATTTCAAAAAATTATCTTTGGAAATTGTTTTTAAAAAAATCTCAACTGGAATGACCTTAGAATAATTAACATGCAGCTGGAAATTTGACAAGCTGCTTTTAAAGAGCCAGATACAGGAAAAAGACTTCCATCGGAGTCATGAAGTCTGTTACAAAGCTACAAGTGTTATTCATTAACTGAAAGAAATGTGCTTAATTGTGTATTGACTTGGCTACCTGAAAATACGGCCTTCCCCTTCGGCCATCGCCATCCGTGTAAGCACTCAAACGATGTGTCCCAGTTTTGAGAGTCCTGCTGGGGAGTTTGACCAGCAGATCAGCTCTCTGTCAGAGGGGAACGCAGCCAGGCTGCTGCCTGTGTACCGGTCAGCCGGAACCCCAGCTCATATAAATCCACATTGCTTTCCCAGTATCACTCCACTAACTGACTGGCTGACAGCAGAAGTAATTGTAACAACTCCTAAGGATTGAAAATTTATGATGCTGATGGTCTTCCTGAATTGCCAAAGTATTCAAGCCGTGGCAGGCAGATGGGCAGGACCTCTGAGCTCCTTCTGCCTGGGCAGGGACAGGCACAACAGATCACTCTGTTTTTCCTTTAGCAAATCTTTTACTGCGGCACTGAAACGACACAGTTTGCACATGTAACCTGGAGCGATGAAGGAACACAAATGCTCATACAGTTGCACAGAAGCACTAAAGTCAGACAGAAGGGAGTTGCTTGAACAGGAAAGATTAGATACCTACCCTAGCCTTAAAATAGAAGCAGCGTAAGTGAGCTCAAATGATAGCAGGAGAGGCCTCAGAGACCGAAGGAGTTGCTCCTGTCTCTAGAACACTTGTCTCATTCTCGGTTACCATTCATGTCTTTCTTACAGTAATGGGGAGAGAGATTATGCTAATGGTGATCTTTAATGTCAGTGACTGATGTGACAGCGAAGGAGTTGCCTGTCTCTAGAACACTTGTCTCATTCTCGGTTACCATTCATGTCTTACAGTAATGGGGAGAGAGATTATGCTAATGGTGATCTTTAATGTCAGTGACTGATGTGACAGCAAAGTAACAAAAAGATGCTGCATGGGAATGAGACAGCAGGCTCCTGGGGGGTGGGGGCTCCCTCTGAACTTGGGACAGGGACCGGTTTGCTGCAATACTGCCTGAGTTCGTAATCCCACCATTGTCTACCTTGAGCAGGGCCACTGGTGAGCCGCTCCCTGCATAGGACAGGGCGAGCCTGACATGTCCCAGGGAGCAGCGGCCCCTCAGGCTGGCATGGAAATAGAGCAGTCCCTGTGAATGCCCACCTGGTAGAAGCTGAGCCCGTTTCACAGGAAAGGGTGCCAGGAAGGGGATTAGTGACAACGCTCGGCACGCACAGCGTCCACACCGGAGGGCCATCTGCCTGCCTGCGGGAGCTGGCAGGTGTGAGCTGGAGAAGGCCAGCACACATTTCTTAGTGTGTGGTCCTTCGGCATTTCACCTCACTCCAGTTCGACTGCAACAGTAAAGCTTGCCACTGTCATCTCCATTACAGACTCGAATGAGCACTGAACCCTTTCTGAAGCCCTTCAATGACTAAATGCAGCAATAACCCAGCGCACGATGCACCAGTCTGACAATGCCTTCTCTTCGATTTGCTGCCTACTAGTGTCTCCGCTTAGGTGGTAGTCAAGATTTCTGTACCGCTGCAAACGAAGTCTGCTAAGCACGTACATTTTTCTGTGTCAGCTGCTATCTGATCAGTACATGTCTGTGTATTTACAGGAATACCCAAGCAGCAGAAAGCCAGTAAGAAATGGGCCGAACTCTCACAAAACTCTGCCACGCTTTTCCTGGGGCAGCTGGGAGCCATCGCCTTGTACCTACCAGTCCCTACGATACCTGCCTTTGGCATTTCACTTTAACAGGTGACAGTCCCACAATGATACAGCACAGCAAAATGAGAACAGGAAGGCTATCGTTACAAAACCAGAAACATGTCTGTGCTGGAAAAACAGGGAAGAGGCTCAGGGAGGGTGATGTCTGCAGTTCTGTGGGACCGGGTGGTAACCCATGGCTGGTGTGACAGAAGAGAAGCACGTTGAGGAAACATCCCAAATGCTAACTGTGCCCAACTGCAGCGGTCCTGGCAGAGCCAGGCTGCTGAGAAAGCACCCTGCAGAAGCAGCAATCAGCAAAGATGGGATCTTCCAGCTCTTGACTGCTGGATCCTTATTCCTAACCCTCCTCTGCACCCCTAGCCAGGCCTACTCTGTCTCTTCCCTGCTTCTCCCACTGAATACTCTGGAACTGAGTTCCTGACAGAGCCTCAGATTGGTCAGGCCCTTGTCTGTGTGACACAGCCATAAGCTCGGGGCAGTGTCACTGCACCACTGAAGTCACCCCAGGTCCCAGTGCTGTCTCTGAGACCAGAATCTGGACTTAATTTTTAGCTCTGTTTACAGCCTTTTGACATGGAAGCTGCTTCTTGCTACATGTCCCCGTTGTGAGGCACGAGGCTGCCTGCATCTTACTCTCATCTCTTTTATAGGTGTGCTTAATTCACTTTTTAAGCTTTCTCCCCCTGCAGCTGGGGGGAGTAGGAATGGGGGAAGTAACAGGCACTGGCTGGCTTCAGAGTTTGTTGCAGAGCAGCACCAGCACTTGATTCCTGGCTCCTGTTTTTCTTACTTGCTTTCATCAGAGGGTAATTCCAGTCACTGAGTGTGTGAAAACCTCCCAAGCCTTCCCCAGAAGTGCCCTGTGAGGCTGAGCAGCCGGGCACAGAGCAAACTGACATCCCTCTCTCCTGGGCAGCGACGTGCCACACAGCCCACCTTGTCCCCAGGGTGCTCAGATGAACGACATTCACGGAAATCCTCTCTCTATTTAGAAACTTGTTTCAATCCAATCAGGTTTTACCTTTTCTGCTTGGCTGAGCTCGTCCTTATTCCTGAGCTTATCCCTGTGCTTGGAATCTGGGTCAATGCTTTCATCTTCTAAAAACTGCATGTTCATATTCAAAAGCCAAGCAGCAGTGCGGTCCAGGGCATTGGGGTTCACAGGAGAAGGGGCCTACAATGAAACATACAACCATAACAAAAGAAAAACCTGTAACAGAAATGGTCATGAAGCTGGAGAGAGAGAATTTCCTTTCAAGCAAGCCCTCTCCCATGCTGCTCCAGCAGCAACGAACAAGTCTGAGCTACCAGAGCGGTCGGGGCTGGGGGGCAGGAACAACTCCTGTTCTGCACCTCACGTTATTTTAGGTCAAACAGCCTCTGACAGGCCAAATTCTTCCCTGTGCCATCCCCACAGAACAGACGTACAATGGTGCGCTGCAGTGGGGTCCTGCTGAAAGTAACGGGCCCAGGTTTCTGAGCAGGTCCTGTCACCTCAGGACACGACCCGAGAAGGCGCCGAGCTGCAGGCAGAGTGGCTTCATGTGGTATATTCACTCCGCAAGCTGCGATTTCACTCAACTCTTCAGGCTCTTTTACTGAGCTGCCTTTTTGCTTGCTGTGGAGAAAGGCGCCGACAGGCAGAGTGGCTTCATGTGGTATATTCACTCCGCAAGCTGCGATTTCACTCAACTCTTCAGGCTCTTTTACTGAGCTGCCTTTTTGCTTGCTGTGGAGATTTCGTACAGATAAAACCAGATCTGCAAACTGAAATGCTACTTTTGGTCATGCAGGTGCCTTCTTGGAAAATAAAGGTTTCTTTTTGGCTGAGACTACACTTACGATGCTGGAGAGGTCTAAATGCTTGACATCTTAGTACTTCATCTCTAGGTTTGTTCATGTAGCTATGGGAGCTCAAGGAGCAGTGCTGTTCTATGGTCAGTGAGCTAGAGCCACGGCTGCTGCTTTCCAGTCCTAGCCTGGGCAGGGACTGCAAATGGCATTGCCTGAATATTTCCCAGCCACATTACAAGGTTGAGGAAGTGAATCTCCAGCTATTTCCCCTCCATCCTGGCTCATTATAAACTGCAGTAAACAGTTTCTTGGATGAACGCAAGGGATCTGGATGACTTGGCTGAGGGAATTCAAGTTAACAAGTCAGAAATGTCAGGGACTTTCTCCTTCATTCAAACCTCTGGACAGTAGAGAAACCCAGTCACCAGCAAGCAGCAGAACGCAAGGTTCTGTACTCGGAAGGAGTGGGGACTGGTTTAATCACCTCACTGGGGTTGGGGGCTTTCCCATGCCATCTTCCAGTCTGGTCTTCTACTTCCAGAATTTTAAATCAGAAGTTTCAGACTCGGCTCATGAACATCACTTCCTATAAATCCTCACCAGGCTTGTGGCTTTCTGCTTTTTCTTGCATCTCCAGCTTGGACACTGCACCTGTGGTGGCTGCTCAGAATTTCTGGCTTCAAGGAGCAGTGGCCACCCGCGTTCATTTCAGCAGCGTAAAGGCCACTGGTAAAGGATGTCAATGAACAGAGCTCAGCCCACTGTGCACAGGTCCTCCTGCCTCTGTCTTCCTTCTCTGAAGAAGTAAAAAAGGACATCTGATCTGGCCTGGGACAGTTTGGAAGTCAGTTCAGCAGATGAACTTACAGAAGTAGAGGAAGCGCTTCTGGCTGGCAGGAACAAAGTTCATGGACTTCTACTAAAATGGCCACCAAATGGGATTTCTTTGTTCTCAAACAGCATTTAATACCACCAACTATGAGCAAGTAGTTTCATTATGGTTTACAGATGCTGCTAACATACAAGTAAAATGCGCAGATTAAGGGTAGGAGAGGCATTCTGAGGATTTCAGGTCTTGAGAGAAACTTTGAGAGGACAATAGGGGTGGGTGGAGGAAAGATCTGCAAACACAACTTGGCCAGGGCTTTCCGAAGGTCACCTGGAGTTCACTGTTGTCTTTCTGGAAGAAACTCTGCTACCAAACAGGCTGCTGCTGCTTGCAGAGCTCCGTGCCCTCTGTACCTAATGAGTATTGATCCACATTGTACAAACGCTGCTACATGGCATGCTTGCTAATGTCAGCGCTTATGAATCAATACCGTATGCACAGAACAGCTCCAGATGGGGCTGATAAAAAAGCCTTCAATGGGCAGCACTGACAAAGGCCTCCATGGCTGCCTTGTAAAGGAGAGGTAGTTACACCAACTCTGTTGCTCTTTCAATACCGTACTGCTGAAAAGGTGCCTTACTACTGTGTCTGGGCTGAGATGCAGCAAGCTCTTGCCAGTTGTCCACATTCTCTGGGTTTGCATTACTTTTAAAACTCTTTATTTAGGCACTGGAAGCCCTACTGTGTTAATTTTCTATACGGTTAGTTCTGAAATGTAGAATGAATAAATGAGCGCTAGAAAAACAATTTATCCATGCCAGGAAAACCAAAGGGCCCTGGGTCTGTGACCTACTGCTTTCAATTTTAGCACCACGAATAGTGAAATTTATTTCTGTGCAGACCAGCATGCGGTCTGGGACCTGAATCACTGCAGAGCTCTGCACAGCAGGAACCTCACTCTCGGCGGGGAGCACACTCCTTCCATACCGCTCTCACCTCCCCAGACGCACTTACAGGAGGGTCTCACAGAGCAAACAGATAGGAGTGTCCAGGAGTGCCATGGCTCCGCTGGGACAGGAGCAGCAGCGGGGAGACTCTTAGTTACAAGAGAAGATTAGGGCCTGGTCCAAGTCTGGGAGATGGCGCAGGGTTGACTATGGCATGGGATGAGAGCCTGGGCATGGAAAGGCAAAGCAGTGACAAGATGGTAGCGCAGGACAGAGGCATGGCTGCCATCGCCCTCGTGTCTCTGCCCCCTACCGCCTTGCGGCAGTCATACACCAACGTGCCACGCAACGGAGGAACACAGAGAACACTGATCTGTGTCCCCGTCCCTGGAGGGCCTCCGTCTCAAGGGAGGCTCAAGGCTCAAGCTGGGTGCAGGAGCCAAGGTACATCCCCACATGCAATGCCACCATGGGGTTGGCACTGATGTGGTAACTCAGAGCCAGAGTGACATCCCCTCCCATTGCAGCAATCCCCACTGGCCAATTTCTTCTCCAAGTCCATGGGCTGACCCCGCCTGGCCCCTTCAATGCCCAGAGCTGGTACAGCCCCCAAACTCACCTGTTTGTGCATCGTGCGCTGCTTCATCTCAGGGCTGTCACCCTTGGAGGAGGAAGACTGCTGCCGGAGACGGGCCCCGCTGCCAGGCCAGTCTGGTGAGGAGGACATCATGCTGCCGCTGGAGGGTCGCTGGTACTGAACCGTGTTCAGCAAGGAGGGCGGCGTCCGGCCCCGGGTGACAGGCGGGGGCGGCGGGGGCGGCTGGTCTATCCGCCTCTGCGGTCCCGCGCTGTTCTGCCGTGGCATGGTGGGCTGGCCGCCCTTCTCCGTCAGCGAGAGCTGCCGGCGGGCCAGCTCCCCCGGCCGGCGGGGAG